TTCAGTGTATGACACCTCTGCTGTGTTGTTACTTCAGAGGCTTTTACAGTTTTCATCAGCTTTTATTGGATGTAGATGAGTCAAATGTGTTCCATTTCTTTGCCTGAGAAATTCTACAGTATCTATTCAGCACTACTCTACTCTAATTTGTTTTCCATCTCAGCCTCTCAGAATAAGGATACAATTGAATTACAGCTTCTGCAACTTTTGCAGAGATTACCAAACAAAAAGAAAAAGACAAGATACAGTATACAGTATTTGAATATGTCACCTGCTTCTCCCTTTCATCAAGTGATTTCACCAATGGTGCAAAAAAGTGTGGTTTCATCTGGCAGTGCATTTTTGCTATATGTTTGGTCTGACGACTTTTGACAGATTTTCATTACTGAAAAATCTGCTGTGGCCTTACTTGTGCTTTACTGTATTTCGAAGCCTATACTTTCAGAGATGACCTCAGGGGCTAAATATGAGAACCCTGTTGCTGGTTTCGCAGATTAATGTGATAAGGAAGTGGGTGAGTCTGATTTATAATTTATGCTGAAGGGTTTGAAGAGTAATGTGCCTGGCTGCAGAGTGTAACAGTGATAGGTACTGTGATATGCCCCACTGAGAGCTGTGTCAGCACACTATTATACAGAGGATGGAGAAATCCTTCTTATACTGTATGGATAAGAAACATAATAAACAATGTCTTGCAGAATTCTTGATATACATATCCTTGATTACAAAACATCTTCAATATGTACTTTAAAATATATTTTGTTTTAGAATACAAATACATATGTATACTAAAACATTTAAATGTAAACATTTATACAATACTTAATATTTATATGTTTTACATTTACTTTAATATGACTATTTTCACACATGTTTTGTTCTGCCTGTGTCTATGAATGCTAAAGCTGGTGGTGAGTATTTGGCTAAACTATAATGTTACTCATTAAAAATATAATCTAGGCTAAAAGAACTATTTACTCATTCATGATGTCATAAACTGTCATTGAATTTACCTTAACCTGTATATATTAATCATTCTTTTTTATAAGGACATTTACATGGTGATTTTTTTGGGGGATTCTTGACTGTGTTTTTTAGCAAGAAATCCAAATAATTCAAAAAACAGCTGGACAATCTCTGCCAGTTTCTTGCCTAGTAATTTTAGTACTGCTTTTCTAAGCATTCTAACGTATTATACAGTAGTTGGGTGAGATCAGCTGGTTGAAGTATATACTGTACAGCATATATAGAATATGTTTTTTTTGTTTTATTTTAAAAGCCTGACACTTTTTCATAATGTCCAGCAGATCCTTTTTTACAATAAACCATTAACAGATAATTAAATGTTTGTAACAAAACAGTCAAAAAGAATTGTTTTTGAATGTACATTATGCCTCCCAGAGTAACCATAAGAAACAACAAAAACCGCTGTGTACACATTGCATTTAAGTGACTGAATATGCATGAATAATTCAGATTTTAATATGTATACTTAATAGATTTGGGAACATAATCTAATTTGAAGTTCAATCAGTTATATTCATTCCATTTGTTAGGATTTAGATATCAAGGCATCACTGAGTAAAAGAAGCATGCCTGGATACCTTTGGACAAGATGTTCTCTCAGATAAGCTAATAAAATGATGCAATTATAAAAGTAAAAACTGGGGGGAGGATCGCTGGAGTACAGTAGGTTAATTGCTTTTCAGTGGGTACAGGCATACTGTATGTACAGTATAGGGCAGAAGTGAAATATTCCGCAAAATTTAGTTCTTTCTCTACTTAACATATGCTATAAAGTATTATATGCTTTTTATAGATTTTACACAAGGTCTGTGCAGATCTTCCTTAAAGTATATAGTGATGAAAGGGGTGCTTTTTCAGAAAGGTATTTCACACTGTCCGGTTGTGCTGTAGTCTCAGAGATGAGGTCAGATATGGTTGGTTTGTAATTACCATTATCTTTCAAATAGTTGCCTCGTATTATCATTTCTATCCTATTATCTGCCAATGTCACTCACAGGTTTAAGACAGAATTTTATTAACTAAAGCCACTTGCAAGATGAATGGAGGTTCCGTTAATAGAACATGCAAGGCATCTGAAAACTTACAAATGTTACCAAGGATGTTTGCAGCTGAATAAATCTAGAAAATGAAGTATAATTCACATTATGGAATTATTCATTTGACAGATCTTTACAAATAATCACAAGTTAATGCATTTGGTCTTTTCTCGCAATAATAAGAGTATACTTTATTTATTTTAATCTTTCTACATGTTGTTGATCCATACTATACATACATACAGTACTGTATTTGAAAATGGAAGCAATGCCACACAGATCTACTTGTTTCATTTTGGGGACAGAGAAATGGATTTTATTAGCTCGTCATAACCCACCAGGCTATCAGTATCAGACAAAGGATTTGCCGAGGATTAACTTGCAGTTCATTTTATTAGAATGGTTTACGTCACTGGGGAATCCCTAGATATTGCGTCAAGAATCTATATTTGATTGTCCTGGGATTACATTTCAAAATAGGTACGAGACAATCCCAAGGGATTCTCTGGTGTTTCACAACACACTGAAGTAAAGCTGGGGTTTACCTTAACTGAGTTGGGCTAGCCAAGTTTTTAAGCCTTTATCTGCCATAGCCTATTCTTATTAATCATCACCAATGATTATACAGAGAGATACAAACATGAACGGGAGTTATCAGTGATCACTCCTCCTGTACTGTGAAAAGCTACAGGTATGTGAATTAAATTATGTTTAGAATATTTTATTATATATAAACTATGAGAAATATTCAGAAATTATATCATATCTGTGCAATATGCTGTATAATATGTATGTTAACAAAAATCTAAAACCTTGCTATTTTACCCGAGAAAATAAAAAAGTTGTATTTCAGTCCAGCAGACTTCCTTATTTGTTCAAAGACTTAACTCTCTTTTCAAAATTCTCTAGACACAATTATAGAATACTTATGCCCTTACCTGTCTGCCTAGATTTTCAATTAGGAGACATTACTTAATTTAAGGAGATAATTTACAAAAAAGTTTCTGACCTTAGTAACCCAGAAATTCCACTTTTATTCCACTATCCTTGTTTATAGCTCTGCATCCTTGTATGACGCTAAATAATCAGAGGAATTTAGTTTACATTTTATTTTCCTGTCATCCAACACATAAATAAAAAACGTACTTTTTTTATTTATGTGTTGTAATATTTCTTATAATATTTCTTATATATTCCAAATATTTCTTAACCTCCCAAAGTAGTTTTGATATTCAGTGGGTCAGTGCTGCTGCTTTTCTTTAACCTGCGTGTTGGCTGAATAAGTCTAGACTAATAACAGGCATTTTGACGTGTTTTATTCCACAGAGACTTAAATTTCCATTGGCATTATCGCATCTCTTTTTGACAGAAGGCTTAGTGGGTTAATAAAAAACAGACACATGCAGTTCAGGGTGAAATTGTGCGTCGTCTGTTCGTTATTTGGCTTAATCCTTTCATTACTCACTTAAGCCTCGACATGACAGTAAGCAACAACGTAATTGCTGATGACAGAACTGCACTCAGTAAAGTGTAAAATTCCAATTTGAATGTATGTGCTTTTATATTTTGTCAGGATAACAAAACCACTAAGTACTGTATACAGTATGTTTGGACTCACTTAGTCTGAAACTGAGAAATGTACAGTACATTGCTTTGTAAATGAATTTGTTTAATTGTATTAAAAGTTGGGAGAGAATTTAGAGTGCCTACTGTAAGTTATTAGGTCTTGCATAGCTTTTAGTCTGGTTTAGGATGATCCAGGTGTTTGATGAAAATATAGACACTGCTACTTCAGACTGCTGGCAGCTGTCCAGTTCTCCTAAAAAGTTTGCTATATTTGGAACTGTTTTGTGCACTGTAAATTGTAAACATTTTGATTGTGGAGAGGAAAAATATTTAGAACATAAAGATAATTTGCAAATACTAAGTTTCAAAGTACTGTGGCGCTTCACACAAATATATTTGTTTAAATATGTTTATTTCACATTTCAACACCATTATTAGCTTATTTCAACACCATATCCTGCAGTCCTTCTACAATAAGGCTAATATTACTGCTATGATTATGTCATATTGAAAAATAACTTTATTGTAGAAACTTCTGTTGAGGTTGTATTACTGCGATAAACCTGCTCATAAATGCATGACAAGAGTGACCCCTACAGGTCTTTTGCAAAGGTGAACAGTTGCATAACATGAAAATAAGAGTTCTTTTTAAAGCACGATTGCTGCAGGGTGTGGAGCTGTGCAACTAGGCCCCAATGCTGCTAATTCCTTGATTCTCTGGCAGTGAGAATTAACAAAGGTTTACAATACACTCTTTGTGTGTGTGCATGTCAGCCATGTCTTTCAATCACGTGGTTCCATAAAGCAGCTCCAAAGGAAAAAAAAGTATAACGACAAAATGTTCAGTTTTTATTTTATCTTGCTTTGTTTTTTTATTTTAAATTACATGTAAACATGGTCTGTCTTGACATACTGAATGCCTGAATTTAAATATAAAACCCATGAAGACTCAGTTGTATTCAGTAGATGAACCCTGTTCAAATAGTACCCTGCTTAAATAATTTTATAGTTTATAAACAGAAGATTCTGAGCATTTTAAAACACGTCTCACACGGAAATGCCACTGTGACATGATTTTGCTACTTTGCTATTTTGCTAGTTAAAGGAAGTAAAAATACATTTTCTTTTGTTTTATTTTGAATTTTGATGTTTATTTGGAAACCGAAACAGCCATGAAAAGCCAAGTTGTGTAGATCATTCCCCAAATCCTTTGATAAGATTGATAACTCTTTGCATTTTCAGTTGTCCATATAATTAAATCTGATAAGTAAAACAACTTATATAACATACCTGTATACATACAGTACAGCAGCAGAATACAATAATAACAGTACCACAATAGGTAACTATCTTTTTCTGCTTCTCCAACAGTTTTGATGTGGATAATGGCACATCTTCAGGAAGGAGTCCCCTGGATCCAATGACCAGCCCTGGGTCAGGGCTCATCCTCCAGGCCAACTTTGTGCACAGCCAGCGGAGGGAGTCCTTCCTGTACCGCTCAGACAGTGACTATGACCTCTCACCCAAATCCATGTCCAGGAACTCCTCGATTGCCAGTGACATGTAAGTGTAATTGAGGAATCTACTTTTTTTTACACCAGGCACACTCAGCAGCTGATGAATGATGTTGCAGCTACTGTAAATGTTCAAAGAACGTCAGGAAAGCACATTATGTCTGCCTTTTTCTAGGTATGGCGTGTGGAGAATCAGTGTTGTGTGTATTTGAAAGTGTCTTTCCTATGGAAGAGAAAATACAGTAGTGCTAGTATTTTCTATTAATGACATTTATAATAAAGTAACAATAATAGCTCTAAACATGGTTTGTTGTCTCTGAACCCTCTTTACACAGACATACAAGAAAGTATGAGAAATTGCAAATGGTTACATTTTACTTATTGCCTTACTCTTCTAAAGCCTACTGTAGATACAGACCAGACCACAACCTTTAATCGAGAAATAATTTTCATTTCACTAAGGACAATATCATCCAAGCATTGAATGCTTTGTGAATGTTTGGAATACTTGGTGAGATAGGTTTGGCTTAACCCGCTTGGTTAATAGGTAGCCTCTTGGCCATGGGATGAGAAGGCTCAAACCCCACTCAGAGAGAAGAGAGCCAATGGATACTTTAGGTACAAGGTGGTGATGGGTGGAGGAGGAATCCTTTAGACAAATGCGAAGAAAAGTATTTGTGTTTGATATACAGTATACCTAATTTCTGAAATGATGGTGATTGTGTACAGTTGTGTGCGTTTGATATTGCTAGATATTGTTATTATCCATCCCAAACTTCAGTTAAAAAATTCCATTTATTTATTTTTACATTCAAATTTTCTAAGATGTATTTGTGACTTCCTTTTCTTTTCTTCGTGTATGTATACAGTATATGTTTCACAGGTTGGAGGTGTTGATGTTTGTGTTGAACTTTGACTTAGTGTCTGCTCAGGCCGTAAATGGTTAATTCTGATTACAGTGAGGAAAAATGAACATTGATGACGCAATTTTAGAGACAATTATGAACACAATAAACAAGGTATCATAAGCTGCTTCTCCATTGCTGCAGGTTGAGACCTTTGTTGTTTTAATGAATACATATATTTTTAATTATTAATTATTTATTATATTAAACATGTAATTGACAACATTGCAAATAATAGTAATATTAAAAATGTAATTTTATTATAGTGCATTATTACATTCTATGTTTTTATTACTTTATTTTTCTGTTTACAGTAAATGTTAAACAATTTAGAATTGTACTTTTTGTTTTCAAGGGTTCAGTTCTGATTCATGAGGTGTGGTTTTGAACTTGAAAGGCTGCTGGATTAAGTTGTCTTTAAACAGAGTGTATTAAATAATAAGCAAGACTTTCTTACACTACATTGGGGTGTACCAGTATTCCAATACTATTCAAGACATAGAAAGACTTAGAAATAGTTTTGTTTCAAATTCAAGAACTTGTATTTCACTTATTTGTTGTTGCTGTGATACTAGTTAGTCAGGCACAGTCTAAGTAAAGTGTAATGGTTTCCCTTTCTTCATTTAAATTATCTAGGTTCCTGAGATCTGGCAAGCAAAATCATGAACTGTGATAATATAAAGTAAATTTTGTTACAGTTCTGTGATATCCAGTAATGTAGACTGGAGCCAAAACTATGATTATTTATTATGCATAGATTCCTAAATCAACAATCTTTAGTAACCAAACAATACTGTAGCTTATTTTGTACAAACTTTCCAAACTCTTTTTTTTCATTCACTGTACTTTAATTTACTAAATATTTGTTTAGTTAAGTAAATTTCCAAAACACTAAAAACTGGGAATATTTAAAGCAGACAGAACTGTTTATGTAAGTATCTTCATGTTCCTACTACTGACATAAAATCTTTTGAGCCTGCACGCATTAACACAAACAAACCATTGATTACGCACTGTCATTTTAGCACACTGTATTTTCTTTCAGTGAAATGTCAATTTTTCAAAGAAATGAGATCATAAAGTCATCTGAAAGTCATCAGAGTTTTTAAGCAAGAAAAAAGCATCTGTCGAAAAAGGTGTGTGATACAGTATTTTATAGAGCCCTGCACAGTACAAAGAGACTTAAGATATGAAAGGAATAAAAATATATGAAAAGATATGAAAGGAATAAAACAATTGATATAATATTATAATATTAAAGTAATATTTTCCATAAATTGGCATTTAAATATAATTTAAACTAAGACATTTACGTGAAAGGAATTTACAAAATACATAATATTAAATACATTGATTTTTTAAAAAGGACAAAACAAAATTCAGTATCATTCATGGCACACAGAACCATCTGTAGTGCTGCATGAGTCTCTGCATCAGTTTAGAATTATTGTCATCTATGGTAAAGAGAGTGAAATAAGAAAGTCGTTATGATGTCTGCTAATGATTTATCTCTCTGAGCAGTCTAGATTGAAACTGAATGCACTGTGCTTTGGTTTTGGCAAAGAGACCTTGGTGATGTACAGTACATCCCATTTCATGTGTATTACTGTATCTAGGATTTTGAACAGACCTGACCTGCAGGATACAATATAGGGTTTTGGTGTTTACCATGGCAAAAGACCGATTTCATTTGAAGAGAAATGTATTAAGTATAGAATTGCTGCATTTTGCATTCATATAAAATGATAATATTACTGTATCTCGACAGCAGTCTTCACACAAAGCAGAGAGAACATACAGTATCTGGCCAATAACACATGATGCATCACTCTTAAAAAATCTTGGCTTGCAAGCTTTGCATATAAACACCGTATGTTGCTTGGAGTTTACAAAGAACAGCTCTAAATTAATCATGAATTACAATTTTTTAAAATGAACATTTTAAACAGAGTTCAATACAGCATGTACTGTACATCAAGCATCAAAAGCATCATACAGTATGACTTAGAACTACAGCAGCAATTTTCTGTTGAACAGACATTACATAGGTAAATGCATAATGCAGATTAGCATTTATTATTGACAGGGTTTATCCACATGGGGTGAATTGTGAATGTTTCAGGCTAGTAACATGTTGCAACCAATGCAATAGAGCCATAGATCTTTGAGGTGTGCATTGCACCAGGTTGCAGATGCTGTCTTGTGGGATTCTGTAGCGTCCCTCTCATAGACAAGGTCTGGACAAGCACATGGCAATTCACTGGTCTCTTAGCCCTAGATGCCACAGATATCGGCTCTGGCCATCCAGCATATGTTCAACAGATTACAAAGTCTTTTGGGTAGAGCAACCACAGCATAACTGCTACTAGACAACCACTGTGTCACTAGTACCATGAGGGTGTGCACTGTCCATAGAATATTGTCGTAAGAAGATGAGCACACTTAAACAGCAAGTGAGGTCCCAAGACCTGTTCAGTGTAGCACTGTGCAGCCAAGTTGCCAACAATATCTACAAGTAGAGTTCTGTAGTAACTGAACTCTCCTGCCCGAAACATTTTACTTGGATGGTAGCTTGAATTTTGGTTGTGTTGCACCCTGAGCAACTAGCAACACTGAACTTGCTGGTTTAGTCTAGCTGACGATATTGACATAAAGGTAAAGTGATTTGATAAGTGGGGCATATTGGGTCCTTTCTAGGTTTTTCTTTTTTTTTCATTTTTGTCAGGCTAGATATTCAACAGGTTTAATCACCTCATTACTTGTGCCCAGTTTGCATTCTCATATATGAGGTGATTTAGGGCTGGTGCAAGAGAATCACTTTAGTGTATCACAGTCTGCAACTATCAATTATTTACAATGGTTCAAAAACATGCAATCAATATTCAAAATCCATATACTTCATTTTTCTAAAAAATACAATACATAAACTGAGTAATGTGTTATAAATGTTCATAATACAGACAGCTGAAAGATAGGTTGAAATGTGCTCATTTCAAATAAAGATTTAATATGACCTCCTTTATGAATTTATATTTTTGAGCAAAAGTTTTAAACATTTTGCAATGGTCTATCTTTTTCATTGTTTTGCTTTCATTATACACATATATGGCAAACTTGTAATCCTCAGTGTTGCCAGCCTTGTCCAGGTGTGAGTAGGCCCTTTGCAGCATGTACTGTAGATGATTGCATCCTCCACACCAACACTGGGCTGGTAGGTGAACTGTAGGGTGTTCCTAAGTAGAACTAATGTCCCAAAATGACAACCACATTTTTTATTGTGATTGTGATGGGTGGGATGGGACAAATTTCCAACTTATATCATAGCACTCTAATTAGCAGAGGATAATTTTCTTGATAATATTTCAGTCATTTTAATATGTTAATTTTCATTTAAAAATTGAAAGCTTTTCCATGTCCCAGCAGTATGAGTCAAAAATTATTTTTTTTCTAAAAACATGTGCTGTGCATTGCCTGTTTCATCTCTCTGAATTCCCAGCTGCTTTTTTGATCATTCTGTCCCTATTATTAGGAATAACTACCAACTGAGACCTCCTTTGGTTTCTCAGAGATCAGAACCAATTATTACTGGAAAGTAAGTTATTATACAAGTAACCACTAACAGCCATTTGTTGGAAGAGGTGTTCATGCAGCCCCTAATGTATGTTCTGCCTGTCATGCATCACTTTGCTTTGCACCAGATATTAACAGATAACTAACAGCCTCACAAGCTTATGATTACTTAAAGGCAATACTTTACATACAAATACTTTGATGGTTGGGTCTTTTAATCTTGTAAACCTCTTTGATGGTTAATATCTATTGAATCCGACCAGTTTGTTGATTATTGTGTTAGAAGGTGAATCTGCATTTGCTTTCTGTTATACATAGTGTGCTGCTGACTTTCACATTACCGCAAATGTCAAAGGAATTCATGTGGTCAGTGTTTGGATAGTCAAGAGCTACAGTATACTCCACTTTGTTACAGATCTGAAGCTGCTCAACATTGCTAGCCAGAGGTACTTTTGGCATTTTTTTTTGGTGAAAAGGGGTGCGAGGGTGAATTTCCTGCATTAGTCTGTCAAGGTAGTCTTGCTGAAAAACCCAATTCTGTTGACTCAATATATAAGGTAATGACTTATCCCAGGAGACAGGAAGCTATAAAAATAGACATTTTTTCTTGTGGCCCATAAACAGGAAGTGCCAAGATCTGTAGTGGCACATGACATACCCCTCCAGGAAATATGCCATAACCTAGTGTAATGTGAAAAAATATTGCTGTTTACAGCTAGATAATGTCCTACATTCATTCTAAATAATCAACGCTAACAAAAATACTTTAGTTCTAGATTTTAAAGTTTTGAAGACAGCAACATTTTGTTCAGTAAAAAGTGATATGCCATACACTATATAGCTATAAAATGCTAGTCTGTAACCAACAGCCAAAATCTTAAAAGTTCTGAAAACCACAAAATTCAATACTTTAGTGCTGCAGTCTTTAAAGTTTAAAGTAAGAAAAAATCAGATTGTATCAAGTATTAATAGAGAACATTTACTACCATTCAAGGGCTTTAGCTTAAAGTCATCAAGTTTGAATCATAGCATAACCTAACTGATATTGTTCTGTACGAAAGCAGTATTAAATAAAATGTCATGCACTAAAGAAGTACAGTATTAAATAAAATGTCAGCTGTGACATTTACAATGCTTGCCAAATGCAAAACTTATTTTTCTTTATCTTATAATTTAATTGGGTCATACAGTATATTTGCCAAAAACATGTCCTCTACCAAAATTTGATCCAAACCACATGTAAAAATAAAAAAATATGTGTCTTCATTTCATGATAAATGAGTTTATTTAAATCTCTAAGCAAATTGTGGCTTGATGCTTGAATAAAAATAAATGTAAGCGTTTGCTCGGCTTTTCGCATAAGCCAGGTAAAGTTCAACTTGAGTTCAATCATAACAGCCATATAAGAATAATTTCCACTGCTGTTTGATGTCGGAAAATTTTCAGATCTTGCTCACTTGTATTGTCTGAGTTTACAAGACTATAAACACTGGAGGATGTAGAACTATGTTTTTATATTCCTTGTAAACCTAGGCTATGTAGAACACTTATAATTATAGTGTTCATCCGACAAATAACCATTTCAGTTTAATACTTCAAAGCTTCCTTTGTATTTGGGGAGACAGATTAGTGTTGTTTTAAGAAATGAACAGGTTTGAAGACGGCTATCTTTTTTTACTTTTGCTTGTATTAAATCAAAACTTAAACTGATTTAATAATCACGTCAGTCTATAAACTCACTGTTTAAGAAAATATTTTAAATATTTAGCATATAAAAACCCACAACTGAGTGATTGTTTTATAACTTGTGATGGCTGGGTCAGTCATATTTTTTATGTATTCTGGACTGTAAATTTGACTTAACAGGTACAATATTGTTTATCTAAATTAAGGTTTGCCAAGATAAATAAATAGAACATCCCCAGTATCTCTTCAACACAGAAGTTGACATACAGTACATTATGCTTAATCAACAACTCAACAGAAACAATCACATCAGTTTTAAACAGAATTTTACAAATTCTTTAATGTATTGTTCTGTAGTAATATAAAATTAGGTGATTTTTAACCTGCATGTTGGAGCTAGTTCTCATTTTGCAACAGACCTTGCTAGTGTTACAAATGTTTTAATTCCAAAATCACAGCAATTTGATTGCCATAACTCTTACAGATTTATATCAGCAAGTGGTCAAGAAAGCCTTGTTTGTAGTTACTTTATGTAAATTACACATACAGTAACTATCATAATATAATAAAATGGTAATAATGATCAGCATATTATTAATCTGTGTGATTTATTCGTCTCAAAAGCACTGAGATATAGTGTTTCTGAGTAGATTTCTATGTAGAATAATCACTTAATAGTGCAGTAATATCAAGAGGAGAAATAGTCTGTAAATGTTGAATAGTGCTTTCTTTCCATTTCAGTTTTATGAGAAGAAAATTATTTCTTTATAAGAGAACGGAAGTTGAAGATTTAAATTTGACCTCCTCCTGAACTTGTGTTTAAAAACTCTATTCATCTTAAAACCTGTATGAAAAGTTGATGTTGATGAGATTAATATGCACAACTCTTCAAAAAAGTCGTGTTAATTGTAAACACCTCAACTAGATGACAAAGGGTAGGTATTCCTCTCAGCTGTGACAGGGGTTTGAAATATCAGTAGCTATGTTTAGAATGTTTTATTTACAGTGCATTCCTTTGTCGGCTTTGCTGATATGGCTGTGTGATATTAACAGTTCCAGACTCCTGTCAACTTTCCTTTTCAGTCAGTTAGTAGACAGCACTCATTCCTGAAGAGAACACATGCTTTTTTATAGACATGACACACTGTTTATCAGAGATACCCACACAAACCTTGCATGGATTACCATTTCATTCTTATATTGCTGGACTGAATTATTTTATACTGTACTGTATAGTGAGAATTAGGGAGGTTTTTTTGTCCCGGTGAAAGGTGGCAGTGGTATGTTGCATTTAGGCATGTGGCATATGTGCTGCTTACAGCCAATTTCAAGCATGTACTGTGTGAAATGCCTGCTTGTTGCTTCACTTGGATCCAGCAGCTCAAGTATATTTTGTCCTTCAAAGCTTGCATACCACCAGAAATCACCCACTCCTCCTACTACTGCTTTCTGCTAATACTAACCTTTTGCACTTGGAAATGCTTTAATAGCTTAAGGTAATGTAAAATGTTTTTTTTTTATCCATTGAATCTTGATCTACTTAAATGTGCAGTGGATGTGCAACGATTCTAGGATCCTAATGAAGTATCCTTTTTTGTTACTCTGGAAACTGAACTAATTATTTATATTTTAAACTTATTTCAGGCTAAATAAACCTCAATTCAAATAATACCCTTCACTTTGAAGCATCAGTAACTTAGCCTATGATCTGTGACAAAGGCCTATCTGAAATTTGAACAATATATTTCTTTCTAAGATAAACTCACATTATGTACATTGTATTATATATGTTTTAAAATTTCTAATCATTGCATTGTTCATTACATGACCTATGTATTTTCAGAGAATACATACTGTATAAAGTGGCCTAGCTTTAAGATAAAGTACTGTACTGTACATGTGTGTGTATGTTTACATAGAATAGGGTCTATACTGTACTTACTTTATACCGTATATGCAAAGTAAATATAAAAATATCCATATTTTAAGATACATATGGACAAACAGACATACAGTCTATACATATAGTTTCTTTTATTCCACTGAGTAACACTCATTCCTGTATTCCTGTTTCCATATCAGTTACTCAACTCCTTCATGTTCTACCTACATTGGCTGATACTTTCTAATTAGACGTTAAATTAAAAAATGAACAGTTTTGCCTCATATTTTCTGTCTCCTCTTATCTTACGTGGAATAAGTACAGTAAATGTACACAGCATGTAACAGTATGAAGAAAAACAGGAGTCAAACTTAACGCAAGCCCATGAAGAATATTGTAAACACACGTCACCACAATCCAAGCAAAAAGCAGTATTCTGCCGACACTGTAAAGTATATCAAAACTTTACAAATTCCAGAATATTATTACTAGCCTGTTTTCTATCTCAAGGTTACTTAAGAAGCTTTGTCATTTTTTGCTTAAGAAGTAATAATTATGCTTCGTCATTCAGATGGTATTAATGCTAAACAGGCATGAAGTAACTTGGTGTTTGGCCTTGTAAAGTTTACACCACAATTAATATCGTAATGAGTTCCTTGATAAAGCACTGTCTTCTCACCCACATGTAGCATTATACTGTAAGAAGCCATATACTGTACTGTATATACATTGCCACATCTAAAACATTGCACGGATGCTTTGAAAACTTTGAAAGCTTTAATTACTAAATCTACAATAACTATATCCACTGAAAACAGTTGAAAATATACAGTATTTTATTAATCCCGAAATACTGTTACTTTTTCCTTTACTTTAATAGTTCTGTTACATGATTTTTTACATCAAGTTACACCAAGTGACATCTTACATGATTTTGATCTGTGAAATCAGAGACATTTGCATGTTCCCTTTGTTTTTTAGTATTTATTTTCAATGGAAAGACAATCAAGCAGGGCATGAAAACACATTATTATTATTATTATTATTATTATTACTACTACTACTACTACCTCTCTTGTTGTTGTTAGTGGTAGTGGTGTTGTTGTTTTGTTGTGTACTAAGAAGGTGACAATAATCTGTCCTATTTCATGTGGAAAATATATTGTAGTTATTAAAAGTTACAGTAATGTCTGCACCACTCAGCTGACTGACTTAAGTAATCTCTGGATGGGGGGTTTAATATGTGTGGAATTTTGATTAGATGTTAAGCCATACACTCACAGACACTGCTTAAGACTGAATTTAAATATGTTGACAGGTATAACACAGAATTCCACACTTGGCATAATCTACAGCTCTGCTGCAGACTTTGTGATTAGTATTAGTTTACTATAAAAAGTCACAGAGAGCTCTCTTTGGGCTCTTCTTATTGGCTGACAGTTATCTCTGTAGAGAGGCAATGAGCCGAGGGAACTTTCAGGCCAATTTGGCTTGGTAGCCTCCAAGGTCATTTCAAGTAGCTGTGTGAACTGAGAATTAGGTTACAAAACAGCACTCATAATGCAACAGCAGCCAATCTAGGCGACAACAAAGCTGGAGCCCTTTGGAAGTCACCACAGATTCAAAGCGATTCAAAAGCGATGCAAAATAAAAAAAACAACAACAAAAATAATCTCTTACTGCATTATATAATGTGTTTTGTGTGTTTTCCAAGCATGAGAAATAACTTTTCAACCTTACCTACATTCCAGATGTTTTTACTGTTACAGTAAAAAAAAACTCTTCTTTTTGGGAGTTTTATTCTTAACCCTGAATGGTACCGTAATTTAATGTTTGTTGAAAAGTCATATTCATGGGACAGCTTTTACAGCTCTAGTTCTCCATTGTAAATTCAGCTGCAATTATGTAACAGCATAATAGCTTTATTATGTTTATATACGGTATAGTTATATTATTTATACTGTATATCTTTACATACATAGTTTTCCAAAGCTCTATTAAGATTAACAGAACTTTACTTTTCCATACCTGTGCTGGATTTTGTTTTCAGAAAACACAGATCATTTTTTAATCTCCCAGTCAGAGGGAAAATAGTAGTCAGCTAAGATTAGCTTTGTGAACTGTACCTCATTTTTGAAACAATGGTAAATCCAAAATTGAATAAGAAATTTCTAAAATCGCTGAAAGGTTATTTAAAATGTTGATTGTCTGGCATTATTGAAGGGTAGGCTGAAGAGAGTCACCATCACGGAAACAATTTTCTGTGTAAAAATTGGTTTAGGCTCAAGTAAAATTGAAATTATGGTTGTTAAAGACATTTCAAAACTAAATATACTCTAACTTTAATGAATATTTTAATCCTTTAACATTCAGATGCATTTTTCCATTTCAAATGACAGTGAGAATACATCTATGCATTTGTAAAATGCCTGGGTGTTTCATCTCAATGTCAAATCATGCCAGACTACAGTATGTCGGGACTACTTCATCATAACTGAAGTGTATCTCCCACAGCAGCCATTCTGTACCAGCAAATCCTCTACGCAGCAGATCACAAGGAGAACTGAGAAATCACCCCACTAATTGACTTGAAGGGGAAATTTAGTTAGGCCAAATAGTGCAAGTCCAGTGTGGATTTTAGCCAGGACACCAGCGTAACCCTTTACTCATATTAACAGAACCATGGGATCACAGATAATCAGGTCTTAGATTTAACATCTCATCCAAAGAATGGCACCTTTTATAGATCTGTGTCCCCAGTTGCCATATTGGTGTTGGAAATTGTGGTCCAGAAGGAACACAGAGTTATACCTACTGGTCCATCAACAACATTTATACAGAAGTATGGTTTTCTTTATATTGTAAGTCCAGCATTCCAGTAATGATGAAGCCAAGTTGTGCTTAACTGTGAACATACTGTATGATGAGATTGGGCTATGAGTTTAGCTCTGAAGTCATAAGCTAAAGTGCTATTTCTAATTATTCTATCTTTATTAGATAAAAAAAGTTTAAGTCCAAGTTTCAAGACAGTAGCTCCTTATTTACCAATATTATTAATTGGACATGTTAAAAATATTTCTAAAGCATTGTTATTTCGGAATGGGCCTCTATTCTTACAGGAGAGTTTTACTATCCGCGTGACTTGTCAGACAGATTCAATTCCATAGGCAGTCAGAAAGTACAAAGACTACTCTGTGTTTCAAACTTTAATGTACAAATATTAAGTCAAAGCTTTTTAGCTTTATTTTTTGCAACAATTAATTAGCACAAGTGAATAAAAGAAGTGTTTGCTCCCCTCTTTGCATGGCAGTCATAAAAGCATATAATCTTGTGTTTTGCTGTACCATTTTAACAGCTGTATTTTTGTGTTTTTTTCAGTCATGGAGACGACCTGATTGTAACACCATTTGCACAGGTGAGTGTGACACCATTCACTGCTGTACAGTGAATTATGTGTGGTCTAGTTTCAATTCTGGTCTCAGGAAACCTCTTGTGTAGAGAATGTTCATGCTTTCATCTCATTCATGGATTCTCTGGATGCTATAGTTTCCTCCGAGCTTATAAACACATAGGTCTAGGTCTAATTAACAGTTTTTAATCATACCTTTTTCCAAGACCATGCATTGGACCAGCATCTGGCTTAGTTCTTCCTGTCTTATGTATATGGGGCAGTTCTAAGGTGCTTTAAAACTCAACAAAACAAATATCTTTCCAATAATGAATGGACCAATTAAGTGTGGTGCAATTAGCATTAACAGTTGTGGAGAGAAGAAAAAGTTTACTTAACTGTTTTGATCAGAGTACGAAAAACAGTATGAAACTGTATGCATTCCTGAGTAGTAATGTGGATCTGTGATTTTATCAGAAGTATATTTTGCAAGTATAGTTATCAAACCACATTTAACAGCTTCAGCAAGTTAGAACAACACACGGCAAGATGGATGAATTCTCTGGGACATCTACTTGTTGCATTGCTTCCTAGTACACAATTTTAATATTTTGCTACTGAAACCGTCTAGCTGAGGCAAGTGATTATTCATGTCACTGCTTAAGACTTGATAAAAATTGAATAAATTGACATGTACTGGTCTAGAGCTTATACCTGTTAAGATATAAAAATAATTAAAACTTGTTTCTACTAAGACATTAAATTACTTAATATTTCTAGAAATTAGTCTGTTCATCCTAAGAGAGTTGTTCATATAACAAACAATCAATTCAAAGTTGCCAACTGTTTCATGAAAATAATTACAACCACCTGATGACTTCTTTCCTGGAAGTCATGTGTATCTGAAGTAAAAGAGACCTACAGCTCTTTGTAAAACATTCCCCACTGTTCAAGTCCCCACTGAACAACATTGGGCCTCACATACAGTACAAAAAGCTTGAACAGTCCATGTCATGTGCCTATGTCAACGCAATCCCTTTCTTCCAGTATGTTTTCAGTAAAAGTGTCCTCAGCTGAAGTTGTGATAAAGATAATGGTGTTTGAGCTTGAAGTGCACATTCCACTGTTTTACCATATGTCTGGAGGATGGAGATTTAAAGATTGTTCTGGCAATAAAAATGGTCTATTAAGTCGCTAATGTATTTTCTGTCAGTGAGATAATTCATTTGACAAGGGTTAAATAATATTTGGTCTGTTTTCTGTATCCTCACTAAACATTTCCAGATTCAGTTTTAATTGCTGCCTCAGCTGTACTGATTTTATGCCCTGCTCCTCACTACTCATGGAGAGACTATTCAAGGTGTCCATGACTTCATTGAGGTGGTTATTGACTAGAATGATCTGATTTTTGACTGTGCAAACTCAACAGAGAAGACATGCCAGTCCAGAATTGATTCCAAGACCCATGATCTAAAAGAAATGGTAGTGAAAACCACACTTCTACCCCTTATTTAGATGCTCTTTCTATACTTTTCAATCCTAGTTTGATCATACTGTTCCTTAGAGAGCAGTTCTAGCAAGTTCAATAGACCAGTCTTAATCATTTGTTTATACATATGAATAACATGTACCCTACTAATCAAATAATCTTATCAATGAGGAGACTTGATCCAAGCATTTAAAATCCTCAAAGGCACTTACAAAGTCAGCCCAGTGAACTTTGACATTGAAACTCAAACCAGAGAACACAAGTGGAAACTGTGTAAAAGATCATTTAAATCAGAGAACAGAATACACTTCTTTACACAAAGGGTTAACAGAGTATGGTTGCTTCCCAACCAATCTGATACCCTTGCATATTTGAAGAAAAGGTTAGATGAGATCCTCTGGTCCATTACCTACTTAATAACAAACAGACAAAAAGGCCTAGTTTTGTTTGTAAATTTTCTTTTGGACTTCATTTAGCAAAATTCTTTGTCAGCCATGTCAGGAGTTGGCAACTCTAGTCCTGTGCTAATCTGAAGCCTTTCCCAAGAAACATAGGATAAAAGGTGACACTACACCCTGGGCAGGACACATACATGAGCATGCCAGGGCAATTGTAAGATTGCAATCAATTTAGCCAGCATGTCTTTGGAAGGTTGGAGAAAACTAGATTACCCAAAGAAAACTACAGACACAAAGAGTTGGAGACCCCATACAGAAGTTATTCAACTCTGGCGTCAAAACCCAGACCTAACAGCGAGTGGGCAGTAGTGCTAATCACCATGCCACTGTGCTACCTTAAAATGTTCAACATACAGTCAAAAACTTAATAATTAAATATCGCTAGTTCTTTAGGCAGCAGTATTTAGTAGTTGATATACAGCAGGATTCTTGAAAATGTGTGGGTTAATATCCTAGACAGAATACTGATATTGTACATACTGTACTTTACCCATATTATTTTAATAAAATAAAAATGTTCAATAAAATACCTTATTGTAAGAATGGTATAAACATATCTCTTTTTTGAATCAGCCATAATAATACTGTACATAAATTATTTTAATAATTCCCAGTTCCAGTTGGAACAAATACCAGTACACAGGATGTTTTTTTTTAATAGAAATGTTTTATGTTTTCTCAAAAGTGATCTCCGATAGTATCTGTTTTCATTTATAAAGCTTTTTTGCTTTCCAGGTGCTGGCTAGTTTGAGAACTGTACGGAATAATTTTGCTGCATTAACAAATGTACAACAAGACAGAGCCTCTAACAAGTAAGTTTTGAATAGTGTTTTCAGTATAAATCAATCTTCCTATTCAGGGTGCAAAGAATTTGCATTTCTTGTATTTATTGTAAGATTCCTTTTGCAGTACCTTGAATATTTTATTTGGGCTGACATCATTATCTGTCTTACACCACTACTTTCTATATTAGTCAGGACATTCAGATGAAATCTTGAACCACTGTTTTTCATTCTTAAAATCTCTGGGTCTTGTTTGCCACCCCATGGTAATAATCGGAATTGCAACACATAATGTTATTCTGTACAGTATGTCATCTCTAATTGTATTTAAAGGTCACACTATTTTTTTTTTGTTAAAGCTTAGGATTTTCATTTAAGCCTAATATCACAGAAAGCATATACTAATTTTTTCTTGTAATTCTAATTACCAGGCGATCACCCATGTGTAACCAACCACCCATCAGCAAGTCCTCCTTTACAGGTAAGCTGAGTGAATGCAGAGAAGAATATAGTTCATATAAATACAGAAATATAGAGCAGAGAAACAAAATGTTTACTAGCAGTTAACATTAATCTTGGTTTGGTTAATATATTGCTGAAACATTTTATAAAATATGAAATAGTATCACGCATTAAGAGAAATTACATATTTCAAACAATAGTTCGATCTAGAGTTATTATTTCTGGTTTGTTTTTGCTGCTGTTGTACTATTGGGAATGTTAGAAACATCAGTGTTGATTATTATTAACTCATTTGTGCTGGGAGCCTTTTGCAAATTAAACTTTCCTGTGGAAAACTATTATACTGTATGTACTGCAGATACATCCAAGAGAGTAGAGCTTTCGTACTTCTAAACATATAGAATGCTGCCTAAATATTTGGTTAAACTTTTTTCTTGCATTTATTGTAGCTTAGGAAATTCAAACTATAATATTGTCATTGGACAACACTTTCACACCTGTAGCAAATAATTAGGTGTATACATTTTTTCATATTAATTCTAAAATTAATTTAAAAAAATAATAATGCAAAAATTTAATCATTGTTTATTTTTCATTACAAAATGTTTGCGTACAGTATAAGCAAGGTATAGGATAGTATAGTACTTCATCTTATCTGAAGCCTGATTTTTTAAATTCTTGTTTAAATGTGTTTTCTTTTGCATTTTCTTAGGCTATGATGGATTAAGGGTTTAATGGGTCCATAAATACTGTCGGTGTAATTAATGGGTGCTGACATTGTTCTCATTGTTTGAAATTGTCTTTTTCTGAGTGAGAATGCATTAAAAATTGACAAACAAAATTTACCAACACAACAATTGCCGAGTTAGTTTTGCTTGGTAGTATTCCTTGTCGCTGATATTGAGAAATGTTATACCAGTGACATACATTAGGGGGAACCAAAGAACACATTAAATATTTCAGCCTCTTTCTCATTTTGAAAAAGTGTTTTTTGGAGGCTTAACCCAAAGAATCTGAAGTATAAATACCAAAACACATGGATCAGTGCTCTACGAAGTAGAATTAGGTAATCCAGGAAGATTTCTGTGTGTAGTTTAAACTTCCTTTTGATATTTGTCAGAAAAATAAAGCTATTAACTCTTCCATAATTTCTGTTAGTTCCTCTTTAATATCCACCCACAGGTAAGTATTACACCATCTAGCAAGAAAATCATTAAGGGCATCTGTTGCAAAAAATATTAGTACTGTTACCATGAAACCCATTTTTATTTCTTCATTCATTTTTTTATCATAATTAAATGCAATTATGCTTGTTAGCATAATAATTACCGTATATGTATTTATGAACAGATCTTTCCAAGTGGTTCAAAGCCCTGATTCTGGAAAAACACTGTAAAGCTTTCATGGGTTTTTGCACCATACAAGTTCTTAATCGCAGGCCAAGCTCACTGATTTTGATGTTGGGGCACATTTTTAAATTTGCTTTCTCTTAAAAGGTTCAATAGATTTTATTATTGGAATCAATCCTGTACCAATTTCTGAATTTTTTACACTTACTGTAGAACTCACAAAAGACGCAAGTAAATTAGAAGTGGTTTTAATAGGAATATGCTGTAGATCAACTAATATCATTATTATATGTCTACACTGGAGATGTAGAGCTCAGCTGGAATAGAAATTAGCAGATACAGTGATCCTCCAGGACTAGGGCTGAGAATCATTTTTCCTATTAAAATCAGTAAATGGGAACCTTTGGAAATAGCTGTATTGTACAGAGCAATACTCTGGTGAGTACTGCGAGAAGTGTTTAGTATCTGATCATTAGATCCTTGCTGCAGGGCTGGATTTTGGTGTTCGTAGGCCCTAGGCACTTTCACTCTGAAATGTGCAAAAAGACGGATAAGTGCCAATTGAATTACGTAGATTAACATGATGCACTTTAAACTTTTCTAATGCTAAACCACATGATTGATGGAGCCAGTCAAACGACCATTACTTCAATACTTCTAGTTTCTAGAACAGCCGTTAGATAGCATTTGATTATTGATCTGGGGCACCTGGAGTCGATCGCAAGCATGTTGTTTCAGCTTGTTTTTCATTAGTCACTAGTTTTTCCCTCCTCCGTAGGCCCTAGGCGCTGTGCCTATAGTGCCTAATGGGAAATCCGGCACTGCCTGGCTGCAACTCAAGCTGAGAGCAACTTCTAAATAACAGGGTTAGTTGTTTAAATCCAGAACAATTTGTGACAATTGTTTATAATATACAGTATGGTACAGTATGGTACAAAGAGTTTAACTTATGGGGTCCTTCTATTAAAATTGACAACTACAGTAAAATCAGTTTTGAGATATTATTATTATTTTGAGATATTGCCCCACTTCCCTTTTGAAACCTTTTGAAACATCATGCGAACAGCTTGACAGGTGCCATAAAACTTTTGGCACTTCTGGCTCATGGAGTGAATATTGACATGGAGTGAATATTGATGCATGGTTACCAGGAAATTGGTGTTTACAGAAATTACTCTGACCTTGGGTTACCCATACTCCACTGCGGTTTTAAGATTAGGTGTGATTGGCACATCCGCACGTGTTGATCTTTTCATTTCTTTTACAATAAACGAGAGTAGTGCTTTCGCAGTAGCCAGAGTAGTCCTGGACTTCATCACTTCAACATTAAGGAGCTTTTGAATAACATTGTTTTATCTAATGATGTCATACAATATTATCTAACGGATAGTATATCCAAGAATTAGATCTAAAATTAATGTTTATATATTTTACCCTTCAGAGCTTGTTAGTTTCATAGTAATAGAGAATCTTGTCCAGCTATTCCATAAAGGACTCCAAGGAATTGGCATCTTATTGGCACCCCCATCCCACTGTGGAAAGAAATGTCTTCTGCTCTCTTTTCGAAACATACTGTTACTTCCACTTGTGCCCTTGGGTCTTTGTTTCATTACTGAGCAAAGAAAATCTGTTTGGTTCACTTCATCAGCACCTTTTACGTTTATAATCGCCAAACCCACTTGTAATCTTCAGTCTTGAAGAGATCAGTTTCTTTAAATAACCTGAGTGTGACATTCCATTTACAAAAGTATTCTGGTTGCTCTACTTTGAGCTCAAGTCAGGATATCAATGTCTTTTTATAACATAGAGACAGTATTCTAAATGAGGTATAACCATTAAGAGGTAAAACCTTATAATCATTGTCATGTGTCAATGTTTGTCATTGTCATTCTCTCAATATATTGTCATTGGGCAGAGTGGTGGCATTCTGGATCTGCGCCTGTGGCTGGAAGGTTGCTGGTTCAAATCCTGCAGCCGGCAGAGGAATCCTACTCTGTTGTGCCCCTGAGCAAGGCCCTTAACCCCAGCTGTTCGTACAGGGGTGCTGTATAAATGGCTGACCCTGCGCTCTGACCCCAAGCTCCCTCTGTCTGTGTGTCTCATGGAGAGCAAGCTGGGATATGTGAAAAGACAAATTCCTCATGCAAGAAATTGTATATGGCTTAGAAAGTGATCATATGTTTTTAACTCTCCACTTTTTACTGTTTCCTCTAGTATTTTTTTTTTTTTTTTAGCTTTTGCTCACATTTCCAAATAGTGGACAATGATAAGTCAGTGGCAAATCCTAGGTTTCTTTTCTAGGCTTCCTCCTATCTGTTATTAGTGATTTAAAATCCCATTACCTGCATGAATTGCTGTCCGGTTGTCTATATTCAATTTCTATTTATATGCCCAGTCTTAAAAAGAACCTAGGTTATGGTATACTGTATTTCATTTGCTGTGTCTACAGGTTACTAAGCCTCAGTCAAGATAATAGATATGATGTGTCCTACACTGTAAAATCAACACAGTGTATTGTGTTATATCTACATTTAACTCTGCAGATATGTCTACTACAGTTAAATATAGTTAAATATAGAGTTCCTATTTGTTGTTCCCTTGGATGTGTGAGTTTCCTGTCTTTCTGTGACCACAATATGGCTAGTATTTAGTAGCATCTTACTGGGAGTTGAATCCCATAGTAGGGGTGTTTCCCTGCCCCTATTGTGTGAACCTGGCCTAACAAGAAGCAGACACTACTAGTGCAGCACACTCAGGCATCTATTGGCTTACACATACAGTAGCTCTCCAGAAATCACAGGCCCGAGGTAGTATCAGAACTGCCAAACTGTAAGCCTACAGTACTACTACTAGCTGCTTGTTAGAAAGCACAGGCTAACATTTTTAAGTACTGCAAATATTGTAAGTGTTCTAGATATCATTGATTAATCTATACTGTATATATCTAAAAAGCATGATATTAGTTAGTTAGTTTGGGATCTCTGTGACAATTTGGCTTGCCATAGTCACAATTTGGCTTGCCATGGTCTTCAACAATGTTTATCATTAATAAAATGCTTCATAATTACTCAGACGCTTTGAGAAATGACAGGACGTCAACATTTCCCTCAAACATAAGGAAATGGCCAGCAGCCATATCACCCTGCAACTCACAACTGGCAACCCACTGAAACTAAGCAGGTGTGAGTCTGGTCAGTACCTGGATGGGAGACCTCCTGGAAAAAACTAAGGTTGCTGCTGGAAGAGGTATTAGTGGGGCCAGCAGGGGGTGGTCACCCTGTGGTCCACGTGGGTCCTAATGCCCCATTAAAGTGATGGGGACACCATACTATAAACAGGTGCCGTCCTTCGGATGAGATGTAAAACCGAGGTCCTGACTCTCTGTGGTCATTAAAAATCCCAGGGCGTTTCTCGAAAAGAGTAGGGGTTTAACCCCGGCGTCCTGGCCAAATTTCCCATTGGCCCTTACCAATCATGGCCTCCTCATAATCCCCATCTATGAATTGGCTTCATTACTCTCTGCTCTCCTCCCCACTAATAGCTGATGTGTGGTGAGCGTTCTGGCGCACTATGGCTGCCGTCGCATCATCCAGGTGGATGCTGCACATTGGTGGTGGTGGAGGAGAGACCACATTACCTGTAAAGCGCTTTGAGTGGAGTGTCCAGAAAA